CTATACAGAAGGCTTTAGTCTGTGATCTTCATCAATACTTTAAGTCTTCTTTACTTCCAGGAAGCAACACTGTGTCATCTGCATATCACAGGCTGTTAATGAGTTTTTTTTCCAATCCTGCTGCCACATTCTTTTTCATATAATTCAGCTTCTTGGATTATTTGCTCAATATACAGACTAAATAAACACAATAATACAAGTATGGAGCACACCTTTCCTAATATTAAACCAGTCAGTAGTCCCTTATTGTGTTCAAACAACTGCTTGTTGGTCCAGCAGCTTCCTCAAGAGCACAATTAAGTTTCTGGAATTCCCATTCCACAAAGTCAATTGCCTTTGCATAGTCAATGAAGCACAAATAAAATTCTTTCTGACATTTTCTGTTTTCCATCTTATGTCAGCAATGATATCTGTAGTTCCACATTGTCTTATGAATCTGGCTTGAATTTCTGACCATTTCCTGTGATGTACTGCTGTAATCATTTTTTAATTATCTTTAGAAATCTTTACTTGCATATGATGATGATACCATTCAATAATTTCTGCATTCTATTTGTTCACATTTCTTTGGGATGGAATCAAATACATATCTCTTCCAGTTGGATGGCCAGGTAGTTGTCTTCTAATTTTCTTAGCATAGATAAATGAGCACCTCCAGTGCTGCATCAGTGTGTTGAAATATTTGTTTGTATTCCATCAATACCTGGAGCTTTATGGCATTCCACCAATGCCATAAGTAAAGCTTGGACCTCTTCCTTCAATACCATCAATTTTTTATCATATGCTACCTCTTGAAATGATTAAACACTGGCCAGTTATTTTTTAATACAGTAAATGTGTATCCCTTCTATCTTCTTTTGTTGATTCTTACATCATTTAATATTTGCCCACAGAATACTGAATCAATTTCTTTGTCATGCAGCCAAGACTGGAACTATGAAACAATGTCCCAATTTAAAGGTTACTTTATTTTCAAACTTGAGAAAGTTATGGATGATTTAGAACATCAGCTCCTGAACCAAGAGGTTCTCGCAACCTTAATGTCGAATATATTCCTTTTGATGAAATGAAGGAAAGAATACTGAAAATTGTCACTGGATTTAATGGTATCCCTTTTACTATTCAACAATTATGTGAAATGCTAACAGATCTAAGGAGAAACTATACAGGAACAGACAAATGTCTTAGAGGAGTAGAAAACAATGTGATGGTTGTTAGCTGTGTTTATCCTTCTTCAGAGAAAAACAATTCCAATAGTTTAAATCGAATGAATGCTGTCATGTTTCCTGCAAATTCACCAAGTTATACTGCGAAGTCTAACATAAATGGGCCTGGAACACCCAGGCCACTTAATCCACCAAAGGTTTCTTTGTCAATCCCCATGACAACAAATGGTATGCTTGAGAACACTGGCAGCAAAGAGTCAAATCTACAGCAAAATGAGGACAAAGATCCAGAGTGACTCTGACATTTGAATCAGTAAGTTCATCTCTGAGCCCTATAAAAAATAAACATACAGATGAAGATGCTATGGAGGCAGAGGGGCATGTGGTGAAAAGACTCAGATTTGATAAAGAAGATGAAGAGAGGCAGCCAGTCAGACAACTTCTGTCGGGAACGACATAAGACACAATTACTGGGAAGCTGAGGCCTTGTGACCTGGACGAAAATCCAAACCCTGGGCCTTCCTTGGTATGGCGAGCCATGAACCCTGCGGACCCAGGAAGTGACCTCCTGGGGACCCAGGTTCATTGGTGTTTGTGAACTCACTGTTGGGCTACCTCTGTACAAGTCCTAATATTGTTCATTCTATGCTTCTAACTCCAGTAATTGTAGCTTCTGAGAAAATGGTTTTTATAATGCCTCTCTTAATGTCTCCACTGTGTTGGCAGTGTGTAGGGTCCTGGGAATGAATCTTTCTGAGGTACAAGTGATAGTCACCTGGGATGAGTGTCAGAACTGCTCCTTATTTGATTATTCAGTTATGTTTAATATTAACTTAGAACATGAGCTCTTGATTATCCATGTACGTTAATAAAACCAAATTTTGCCCTAGAACTGAGGCAGTAAAACTTCCTCAGAGGACAAACAAGGACAGATTTACTGGGATTAAGCAGGGAGGTTCTGGAGAGGAACTGCCCGGGGTATTCACTTGAGGCGGAGTGGTAAATTCTGGGAATATTGGATTAAAGGACAATGGTGGCAACTCCCTCAGACCACCCTGGGTTTAATCAGTTTAGATTCTGGGAAAAGGATAATGGTGGCAACTCCCTCAGACCACCCTGAGTTTAATCAGTTTGATCCAGATGCTCTTCTTCCCCCTGAAGGTAACATTGTAGCATTTGGGTGTGGAATCCGGATAGAGGATAAGGAATGTGAAGGTGAGACCTCACCTTCTTGGAAAGGTTGTGACCCTTCTCTCACCTTCCCTGGAACTGTAGCAAGAAAGAATTACTAGTTTAACAAACAAAGCTAAATGTTTGAAATCCTGTTCAAACGCATATATTTTTTACTTGCAAAGTAAAGAAAAACAGCTTAAATCCCTTCAGAAATTAGAAACCAACCTTTATATGAGCTTATAAGTCTTTCACCTTTACCCACTAGTGATTAAGTGTTAAAAGTATGTTAGACGTTCTTTAGGCCTAAAGATTAATCTATAATAGCTTGCTTGAACCTTTTCCTGTAGAAATAAAAATGTTAGATTGCTAAGAAAATTGTGTTGTACCTAGAAAATATCTTAAAGGGCGTTCCTATGAATCGTGTGTCCTGTCCTTGAATTTCTCCTTGAAAAAACTTAATAAAAGACTGGGGTAGAGATAGTTCTGCGTGCATTCTTGGCAGCAGGTCTATCTGTCTGTCAGCTTGTATCCACTCTGGTCTCCGAGTGTTTCTTTTCTATCTCACCTCTCCAGACATCCCACCTAAAGTTAGTTCTGTGTGCAATGTCTGCCACTGAGCAGTCTGTCTGGCAGCTTGCATCAAACCTGTGTGTCTGTCTTCTTTGTGTCTGTTTTCTCTCTCTCTCTCTCTCTCTCTCTCTCTCTCTCTCTCTCTCTTTCTATCGTCACCAGACACCCCACCTTCATGTACTCACCCCCTTGTTGAGGCCAGTCTCCGGCAAACTTCCAGTGAAATTTCTTCAGTTATGGTAAAAGAAACTGAAGCATCATCTTCATCTCAGGCTAAAGATAAAGAAAGTAGCACTTGTACAGAAGAGGATGAAGATGAGAATGAAGAGAAAGAAGAAGAGTCTTTTATGACATCAAGAGAAATTATTCCACGAAGGAAAAAATCTAGAAAAAGCATCTGATGATGCCTTAACTGTGAATGAAGAGATTTCTGAAGAAAATAATCAAATGGAGGAATCTGATTGGTCTCAAGCTGAGAAAAATTTACATTCAGAAGGTAGTGAAAATTCAGGTCCTGTAAGCAGTGGTTCTGACAGCCATGAAACAGAAGAACTAGTGGGATCCAAGTCCAGTAAAACTGGAAAGAGTCTTTCAGCATTATTCATGGAAAACGAAAAAGCCACATAAGTCACAGATGAACTGATGGAACAAGACTAATTATTTACAAACATTTAGAAGCAATATTTTACACACAGTTCTGGTTTTATGCTGTATAAAATTTGTTGTGGAACTTTAGTTTTACAAGAGAAGCAGATTGTAAAATTAAGTATTTAATAGAATAAATCCTGAAAGAGTTGTACATGTTAGAACTGTGAATATCAGCTCCTCTGGGTCCTGCTTACCGCTGACTTTTTTTGGTCTGGTCAAATCAGTGGTTTGTGTATAGATTTTTTTTTTTTAATAAACATTTTTAAACTGAAAGATAATAATATAATTTTGAAAACTTTTTAGAGATTATCACAAATAGTTTATACATATGCAAGAAAGCTTTTTGTCTTGTCTCTTTCTTACCATTCTAGCAGTTTTCTTATTTTGGTCATAGTTGCAACATTTTCACATGTGCATTATATGATTTCATGCTGGTTTCCAGATTGTATTGTTTGACTATGTACAATGGAACCTTAATTCATATATACCTATGTTATTTCTAATGGGAGAAATGCTATATTTTTCTGTTTCTATAAAGAGATGACTATAGTGAATACTTTTTCTATTGGTAATGTCTGAGTGCACCTCTTTCAGAAGACAGTTTCTTTCTCTTCTGATGTAATTAATATAAAATCTGGCCCTTGTGAAACCCTGGAAATCTTAAGTCTGTAGCAGTACCAGGTTAAACACATTCCAAAAAAATCTGTTGAAATAAAAATTCTTTTGTATACTTCTGAGATTCCTGATAAAAACACTTCATTATTTATTTGGGGAAATGTGCTTTATCTTGGAAATTATGTTCAAACTCTTGCTTACTCTTTTGTAGAACGAATGCTTATGAAACTGAAAAAAGACCATCTCAGAACTGAGCAGCTTCCTTGATGTGTTGTTTGCTTTTCTCAACATTGTGAATATTACACATTTATTTCTAAATTATTCTTGAGTATACAAATGTCAATATGAAACAGCACTATACTGAAAGAATTAATATATTATTTTAGTAATGTACATGGGCTAAATGACTGGAGCTTTAGGGCTGCATAGAAACCACAGAATTTGTATGACATTTTGAAGCAAATTAACTATTTTTGAACATTTGACAGCCAGTGATATCTTTTTCACATCAACACAAAGCACAAGAATTCCTCCAAACCCAATATTTTCAAATTAATATATTTAAAGTCATGCAAGCTGCAACTTCTATGTCAAAATTACTGGCTGCCAGATTTATATCTGTTTCTTCAGCTGTACCTTTTGATATTTAGAATATTTAAATTTATGTAAAGCAGATTATGTAGAATACCATGTGTTCACTGCCTTTGTGAAGCAGTATAAAATTGTATAATTTCTGTGTATAAACCAAATGCTTGGGTTTTCAATACAGTATTCATATAAGGCAATAAATATAAATGTTATGAATTTATCTTTTAGCTTAATTTAATTTTAATTAATTTGAGATCCCAATATCAAATTCTCCTTCTTTGAAACAAATGCAAATATTTTGATGATGTCATTGAAAGACTGCTTTACTTGTTTATTTCTCAGGGTATAAATGAAGGAGCTCAACAAAGGAGCAACAGATGTAGCAAGCACAGAAACTGCCTTATTAATGGCCACTTCATCCTTTGCTGAACGTTTGATATATATGAAAATGCAGCTTCCATAGGAGATGGAGACAACAATCATGTGGGAAGAACAGGTGGAAAAGGCTTTCTTCCTTTGCTCAGCAGAGGGCAGTTTTAGAACCATCCTAATGATAGATATATAGGACAGAACTACACACACAAGGGTCATTATGAAGGTCACCACAGCACAGGCTATAACCACCTGCTCTATAAACCACGTATCTGAACATGAATTCTTCAGTAGTGGAGAAGCATCACAGTAAAAATGGTCAATGACAGAGTCACAAAATTCCAGGTTGAGACTCAAATTAAGAAATGGAAGAATAATCAATAAGCCAGACACCCAACAACAGAGGATAAGAATCTTGCAGACTTTGCTATTCATGATGGTCACATAATGCAGGGGTTTACAGATGGCCACATAGCGGTCATAGGACATAACAGCTAACAGAAAAAAATCTGTAGCTGAAAAGAGGACAATAAAAAATATCTGAGTGAAACATGCTTTGACAGTGATGGTTCTATTCCCAGTTGATAGGATGTGTAAGTATTGGGGGACACATGCAGTTGTGAATATGATTTCTAAAAAGGAGAAATTTTGAAGAAAAAAGTACATGGCTGTTTTTAGATGAGAGTCCACCAAGATGAGAGAAATGATGGTCATATTTCCAATTATACTTAACATATATGTAATAAACAGATAGATGAACACTAAGATCTGTAGTTGTGGGTCATTTGTCAATCCCAGTATGATGAATGTTGTTATTGTTGAGCTGTTTCTCATCACTGACTTCACACTGCTGCCTGATCTTCACCGAAATTAAATCTAAGGAACGACATCAAAATATAACAGGATCAGAAAGTGACTAATTAAAACTCAGTTAATCCCACTCACATACATTTTCTTCTATTATTATTGCAATTACAATATGCAAGGACTCCAAATTCTTCATCTAGTTAACTAAGCAATTTTTAAAGATCAGGCATATTTCTACCAGAAAACAACCACTGACTTCTTATTCACAATAGAGATTTTTTTTTATATAGATAATTTGAAAAAAAAAAAAGAATGAAATATGAAGGTTCTCCCAAAAAATCATGATAAAATGGAATTGAAAAATAATGGATATCACCACATACTTTGTTTTCATGCCTATTATTGTGGCTGGAGTGAACAACTTGTAGAGACCTGGAGTTAGAGAAAAAAAAAAAAAAAAAAAAAAAGGAAGAACACACTCAACACTCCTTAAACTGAGAGAACTGAAGAAAAACTTAAAGCCTCAACTTTAAATGTTGAAGGATTCAACGGGCAAATTTTTAAATGATGCAGAAAGCATCAAGAGAAAATGGAAGGAATTCACAGAGTCACTGTACCAAAAAGAAATGTTCGGACCCTATCCAGCAAAGCAGTGACGCTAGAGATGGAGGCAGAGAGGATGACATGGAGAGATGGAGTGGCTGAGGACTCTGGACTCAAGGAGGGAGAGGGGCTGTGTGCTGATGGCCAGGGGGCAGGCTTGTGGGGTGTACCCTTCGGTTGATTGAACGGTTATATATTCCTGAGTGCTTCGGTGTACATCCAAAAAAAAAACAAAAAAACAGAGGGAATGGAAGGAAGCAATTGCTGTTGAATGATGATGCATAGAAGGGATTGTAATAATTTCAGTGAAATGAAATACGATAGGATGGATGTTCTCCCATGTAAACTATCACTCTATTCACAATAAAAACTTTTTTTAAAAAATAAACACTATAAAGAAATGTTCAACCATTTCAAGAGGTAGCATATGATAAAGAACCAATGATACTGAAGGAAGAAGTCCAAGGTGCATTGAATCATTGGCAAACAACAAGGCATGAGAATTGATGGAATACTAATTGAAATATCTCAGTAAACTGATGCAGTAATGGAGACACTCACTCATCTAATTCAAGAAGTTTGGAACTGACTGGAAGAGATCAAGATTTGATCCCAGTGCAAAGAGAGGTGACCTTACGGCATGCAGAAATCATTGGACAATATCATTAATATCACATGTAAGCAAAATTTTTCCTAAAAATAATACATATACAGCTGCAACCATACATTTACAAAGAAATTCCTGAGGTTCAAAGCGAATTTAGAAGAGGACATGGAAGGAGAGATATAATTGCTGACTTCAGATGGATCTTGGCCAAAAGCAGAGAATACCAGAAAGATGTTTGCCTGTGCTTTATTGACTATGCAAAGGTTTTCAATTGTGTGGATCATGACAAACTATGGATAGCATTGCATAGAAAAGAATATTCTGGAGCACTTAACTGTGCTCATGAGGAACCTATATATAAAGAAGTAGTTGTTCAAACAGAAAAAAGGAACACTGAGTGGTTTAAAATTAGGAAAGTTGTGCACCAGAGTTGGATTTTTTCACCATACTTATTCAGTCTATATGCTGAGAAAATCACCTGAGAAGCTGGAGTATATGGGAAAAAATGTGGCACCACATTTGGAAAAAGACTCATTAACAACCTGCACTATGCAGATAATACAACTTTGCTTGCTTACAGCAAATAGGACTGAAAATACTTATGATGAAGATCAGAGACCACAGCCTTCAGTATGGATCGCACCTCCATATAAAGAAAACAAAAATTCTCACCACTGGATCAATAAACAACATCCATTTCAGTGAATAAAAGATTGAAGTTGTCAAAGACTTCATTTTACTCAGATCAACCATCAACACTCACGGAAGCAGCAGTTGAGATGACATATTGCATTAGGCAAATCTTCTGCACAAGATCTCTTTAAAGTGTTAAGAGCAAAGATGTCAGTTTGAGGATTAAGGTGCACCTGACCATATTTTCAGTAACTTCATATGCATGTGAAAGTTGGACAATGAATAAGGAAGACCGTATTAATACATTTGAGTTATGGTGTTTGAGGAGAATATTAAATGTACCACGGACTGCCAAAAGAACAAACTGATCTGTATTGGCAGGACTACAGCTAGAATGCTCCCTGGAAGCCAGAATGACCAGACTTTGTCTCTCATACTTTGGATATATTATCAGATATCCCTGGAGAAGGAAATCATGTTTGGTAAAGTGGAGAGTTGGAGAAAAAAAAAAAGAAGACTCCTAACAAAATGGACTGATATGATGACAGCATCAATGGCCTCAAACATAGCAATTGTGAGGTTGGTGTAGGACTGGGCATTGTTTCATTCTGTTTTGCACTGGGTCACTATGAGTTGGTACTGTGTCTATGGCACCTCACAACAACAATTTGTTGAAGTAGACTCAACAGTATCTAATAGCAGTTTGACAGAAGTGTAATACCTATATTAGTACAGAACAGGCATTTAGTGCATTTAGTGCATGTACTCTGGAGCCAAGATTCATTTTTCTGGATTCAAAGCATACCTTTGTCACCAACTAGTTGAATGACTTTGGACAATCATTTAAATCATTGATATTATTATCTCTCTGTGTTTCCATTTTCCTAATCCACAAAATTCAGTTAGCAAAAATACTACACCTTAGGGTATGTTAACCTTACGGTATATGAGGTTTAAATGAGACAAACCATAAAGCATGCTTACAATAGTATTTATTACGTAAGGCTATATACATATCTGTTACTATTTTTCTGATTTTCTAAAGTCAATTCCTCTGATCATCTCATGAAGGAGCACAGCTATTTAAGAAGAAATGCTTACAGAAATAAGCTCTCGCTAGTTCTGTTTCTGTTTCTTTTATGATTAATGTTTTCCAATTTTTTAGATTAATTTTATAAGCATAGAAACATGTTTCGGTATATCACTGTTTTTATTTTTTTTTTAAAAAAGCAACTTTCCCATTAGGAACTGATACTTCTATTTTCTAGTTTTCACATTGCTGTATATAGTGTTCATGTTATTTAACTTCTTGTTGTTGGTTGTTGTTGTTAAGTGCTGTCAAGTTGGTTCCGACACATGGTGACCCTGTATATGGTTTCCAAGGAACGACTGATCAACTTGAATCACCAACCTTGTGGTTCAAACCAACTTTGGAGCCCAGTGCATTAACAGACATCACCACACCAGGACTTCCTTGTTGTTGGTAGGTCACATCAAGTCAGTTCTGACTTACAGTGAGCTAAGGTACAACAAAGGAAAACTGTATCCAGTCTTGTGCCATTCATATGATGATTATGGTTTTGTCCATTGTTGCTGCTATTTTGGCAGTCCATCTTATTGACGGTCTTTCATTATACCAAACATAGTGTCCTTCTCCAGAGACTTGTCCTTCCTGACAACATATCAAAATTTCGACTACTAGAAACTTGTTGATCCATATAATCAAAATAAATAAAATTCAATCAATAAATATGGGAGGGAAAACTAAAACTGAAAGCATAGTAAAACCAACAAATCCAGTTGTTTGTCAAATTAATACCACTTGCATGTTGTTGTTAAGTGCCATGGAGTCAATTTTGACTCTTAGGGACTCAGTGTAATGTTTTCAAGGTTGTCAATATTTGCAAGAACAGAAAGACTCATCTTTCTGCCATGGAGACTGGTGGACTCGAACTTTGTTGTTCAGAGTCCCATGCTCATCTTATGGAGCCACTGAGCACTCCTAATAGAGCTATTGTTGTTCTTGTTAAGTGTCGTCAAGTTGGTTCTAATTTACAGTGACCTTGTTCGGGGTTTTCAAGGAGCAGTTACTGGGTTTGAACTGCTGACCTTGAGGTTCTAACTGACCTTGTGCTCCAGTGCTTTATACTACATTGCCACACCAGGATTTCAGACCTATCATAGGATTGTGAAAATGAGGGTAAGAACTGATATTGTGAGATGTCAATGCTTTAACAAAGAAATAAGAAATACAAATGTATATTTGGCAGGAAGCAAAATTAATTGGGTTGAAATCAGAGATATCAGTTTAAACTCAGAATTTCTAAAGTAAGTATATGTAAGTGTATACACATCTATGTGTGCACGTGTGCATGTCTATGCATATGTACATTCGTTTGTATATATGTGCGTGTATATGTGTATTGTATGCAAATCATATATGTATATATGTTCCTCAGTCCCAAAAAGTCTAAGGAAAAAAATAAAAGAAATAAGCAACCTAAGCCAAGATTTGTATCTCTATTCCCCCATTAAATTGAACCAATGCTCCTTAAGGAAAATCAGAGAAGCAATGGAGGTACAAAGTGAGCCTAAAACATCTTCTTATGCCAGAATATAAAAAGTGATCAAATATAAATATCAAGATGTGTCACATGGTGCAGAGAGGCTAAGTCAAAGGGGCTCCTACTAACCAAATATGGGAAAACTGAACACCAAAATAATTCAGTACAGAAGAATTGTATAATTCTGAAAAGTAGGATTTCATGAGCCTGTACTGATAATCAATCAATCAATCAATTAAAAGAGGAAGGTAAGCAAGGAGGGATCTTGCTTACAGCAGAATTTCAAGAGCCTACTGGCAGATGTGAAGGAAGGGGAGAGATGGAGTTGGATATCAGCTTTTTGCAATCAGAGTAGTAACTCCTGAATCAGGCAAGAACCATAAATAGATGAAATGTTAAAGGCAGAGTAAAATTTTGTTGACATACTTTGCATGGTTACTCATCAACTGTTTATTAGTTCAAGACAAAAATAGTAATCAGACAATGAAGGAATTTGAAATACTCTGATCTGCTGATCAAAATGAACAATACCAGTGAAAATCAGACAAATTCTATGCACCTCTAACTGTGTTACCCAGCAAAAATACAATGTCACATATTTAGTGTTCTAGCTAATAAGG